GGTCCCAGGACACCCCACATTGGGTATTTCCCTCTGACAACCAAAGCAATTAGCAATCATGACTACAGCCTGCTCTTTCTCTGGTTATCTGTTATGAGTCCCTGTGTTTCAAGTAAGAAGAAAATCAATTTGAAGGGGTGTAAACAGTAAATGACTTGCATACACTCACATAACTGAAGAATTCAGAGATATGGCTCACCTCCCAGGAGCTTTGATTCACAGGCTCTGATACTGTCACCCAGGTTCCAGGTTCTCTCATGTCCCTGCTCTACCACTCACCACGATGACTTCATTCCCATATCCACTGGGTGGCCTCTAGGCTCTCCCCATCATGGGCAAAATGTCTGAGATTGAGAAGATCAGCAGCTAAGGTTCCTTCTTACCATCGATTACATTTCAGACGCATGTATGGCAGTCAGCTTCATTCAGTGAAGTCTGAAGGGCTGTGCTGAACTGCTGCCTGAGTAGCTGTTGATGAGGAAGCCTGGACTTCTCTCCATCCTCTCCCCTGTGGCAGCATCCACGGCTCCCTGTCCTCTAGTTTTGTGGTTAGGTTTGGCCAATGAGAGGTACCATCAGAAAGTCAGGAGAACCCTAACCGGTTTGGCTCAGGGAATAGAGCGTTGGCCTGCAGACTGAAGGGTCCCAGGTTTGATTCCAGTCAAGGGCATGTACCTTGGTTGCAGGCACATCCCCAATAGGGGGTGTGCAGGAGGCAGCTGGTCCATGTTTCTAACTCTCTATCCCTCTCCCTTCCTCTCTGTAAAAAAATTAATAAAATATATATATTTTTAAAAAGTCAGGAGAACAACAGGATTTTTTTCCAAGATCCATTTTCTGGCCCCATTCTCCAGGGCTACAGGTGGCAGTCATTTCATTCCTCTTCTCAAGGCCATCGCCTCCAGCTGGCAGGACCCAAAGTTGCCATTACCTTGGGTTCCAGTAACGGCCTCTCCCAAGCCCCAACCATGGCTGGTGGATGATGCTCTGAGCTACTGCCTGACTTAGGATGCCTCCAGTCCCTCTACAGATTCCCTTGCATAATGGTTCCTTGATCTTTCATGGTTCACCTATTTTAAGTACAGCCTGTTTCCTGTAGGACTCTGACAAGCTTTATTTTAAACAAGCTTTCTTTCCCAATTTCAAAGATGTCCGTAACCCAGAACTTTAGAAACAATGATTTGAAATGTGAAAGATACACACTAATGTTCAATGTTTAAAACTAGCTGGAAATGACATACCTGTTGAAGAAAAAAGTGCTTTCTAGCACGGTTCACGAATTTTTCACCTTATAAAAAGAATCCAACCTGACTGTAAAAGTAGTGAACAAACATAAAAAATGAAAAAAGATGGGCTTTACATATACTTAAGCAGAGTACATTTTTGCATTGCCTTCTTTGAGATGTTAACCATAGTAACAGTTGTTCCTACTGGGATGCATGTTCGTGAGGAGAAAGGGAAGTTTTATCTAGTGTGCCAATTGTAGTGATACAGGGTAGTGGCTATCGGTTCCTTGATCTTTCCTGGTTCACCTATTTTAAGTACAGCCTGTTTCCTGCAGGACTCTCACCCAGACACACCCCATTTACTTTTGCACAAGCTTTATTTTAAACAAGCTTTCTTTCCCAATTTCAAAGATGGCGGTAACCAAGAACTTTAGAAACAATGATTTGAAATGTGAAAGATACACACTAAGTGTTCAATGTTTAAAACTAGCTGGAAATGACATACCTTTTGAAGAAAAAAAGTGCTTCCTAGCACGGTTCATGAATTTTTCACTTTATAAAAAGAATCCAACCTTACTGTAAAAGTAGTGAACAAACATACAAAATGAAAAAAGATGGGCTTTACGTATACTTAACTTAAGCAGTACATTTTTGCATTGCCTTCTTTGAGATGTTAACCATAGTAACAGTTGTTCCTACTGGGATGCATGTTCGTGAGGAGAAAGGGAAGTTTTATCTAGTGTGCCAATTGTAGTGATACAGGGTAGTGGCTATGGAACTCACGAGGACAGAGGCGAGGGGTTCAAGCCAGCACCCCCAGCTGAGCTGTCTTGAGAGCACAACTGGCTTAGGTCCCACCGTTCCCTGAGTGGGGGCGCTGGCTGCCCCGGGACAGGGACAGGTGGGAGCTGCTGAGGTTGCATTTGGAAGCTGCACCCCGACACCAGCCACAGGTGAGCACATAGAGCATTAGTGCATGCGCAGGACGCTGGGGGGCGCCAGGAGACCCCCGCATAGTGGGGATGGGGAGAGGTGGGCGGGTCCACCAGCTGGGGGCCTAGCCCGGGTGCCAGGGGCCAGCAGGCCGCTCCAGCCCCCCCCTTCCCCACTGCGTAGTCAAAGGGGCGTAGGGGTCGGCTACCGAACAGTCCCCAGCCAGCTGCGCGGCGCAGCAGTGTTCAATGTTTAAAACTAGCTGGAAATGACATACCTTTTGAAGAAAAAAAGTGCTTCCTAGCACGGTTCATGAATTTTTCACTTTATAAAAAGAATCCAACCTTACTGTAAAAGTAGTGAACAAACATACAAAATGAAAAAAGATGGGCTTTACGTATACTTAAGCAGAGCACATTTTTGCATTGCCTTCTTTGAGATGTTAACCATGGTAACAGTTGTTCCTACTGGGATGCATGTTCGTGAGGAGAAAGGGATGTTTTATCTAGGGTGCCAATTGTAGTGATACAGAGTAAACTGGCTATGGAACTCACGAGGACAGAGGCGAGGGGTTCAAGCCAGCACCCCCAGCTGAGCTGTCTTGAGAGCACAACTGGCTTAGGTCCCACCGTTCCCTGAGACGCAGGCGCCTCGGGTGGGGGCGCTGGCTGCCCGGGGACAGGGACAGGTGGGAGCTGCTGAGGATGCATTTGGAAGCCGCACCCCAACACCAGCCACAGGTGAGCACATAGAGCATTAGTGCATGCGCAGGACGCTGGGGGGCGCCAGGAGACCCCCGCATAGTGGGGATGGGGAGAGGTGGGCGGGTCCACCAGCTGGGGGCCTAGCCCGGGTGCCAGGGGCCAGCAGGCCACTCCAGCCCCCCCTTCCCCACTGCGTAGTCAGAGGGGTGTAGGGGCCAGCTACCGAACAGTCCCCAGCCAGCTGCGCGGCGCAGCAAAGAAGGCGGGATCTGGCTGCACACAGTCCAGGGGGACAGTGTCCCGCGTGGGGGCGTGGGTAGCGGTTGAGTGGGGGAGCAGTGTCACTCCCAGGCCCTGACAGTCTCGGTGGTGGACGCTCATGTGCAGGACGGCAGTGACAGGCCCGCGGGAAAGCCCTAGTCCTAGTGCAGGCCCAGGCCATCTGTGGCCAAGCGGCCGCCTGTGGCTTGGGACAATGGGGGTTAGGGGTACCGGTCCCTGCCCCTGGTCTGGTCCAGCAGGGGCCAAGCGCAGCGCCACCTCCGCTTGGCTGGGGATCTAGTCGCTTTCCAAGTCTCAGAACTCAGACACCTCACAAACCGGCCAGGAGCACATTTTAACGTCCAAATTAAGGCAGTGTGATAGTGGAGGTTAATATTAACCTAGTGCCAGAATAGGATCACCAGTGACTCCATCAGCCAATGATGACTGGGCAGATTTCAGCACCGAGATGGAATCAGCTTCTTGTAATATAGGGACCTGGAAGTGCCAAGGAGGCAGCTGGTAGGCCAACACCTGCCCCAGGAAGGTGGGCAACTCAGGGACAGTCCCCTAAGGACCGCCTGCAGAGTTTTCTGTCCGCAGTACAGAAAGAACTAGGCTTGTAAAAGATTGCACTTAGGATGCTCACAGTTTCTGCTCCTTTTCTTCTCGGGTGGAAAAAAAAGGGGGGGTTTTGCATGAGTCTTAAGGACTCTTAACTGTACCTGAAAAGATTAAGTCAAGAAAAAAGACTTACATTGGACTGGAGATGGGACCAAGTCGAACTGACCCCACCAAAGAGTGAAGAGGACCCCCAAGCAGGTTAATAGAGGTTCATCTTCCAGGAATACAAGAGCCAGCTAGACACTGTTAACGGAAAGGCAAGCTGCAGCAGAGCAGGGGAGATGTGATCCCACTGTTGGGGTGGAGAAGAGAGAAAACCCTACCCTCTTTCTGATTGTAGATTCGGAGAAAATGTGTGGAAGGGAAAACGGGATTTGTAAGCAGTCACTAGCCTGAAGGTCAGACTGGGGGTGGGGTGAGGCCTTGGGGGGGATACTTAGTTTTCCCTAATGTGCTGCTTACATTTCTATGAAAATATGACATTTAAAATTGTTAACAAAGTTATTTACGAAGACAAATGGTTTTATATTTAAAGAAAATAAAGGCTGCCAATTTTATTCCTTCTTTAAACAAAAAGCCAACTCTCCCTCAACTTTAAAACATGGCAAGAGTCAGAAGCTTGAACTCACCACAACCAGAAGTCACCATCTCCCTCTTTTCTAACACCAACTTTAGCATTAAAAAAAACTCAAGACTACAGCCTGTCTGGCTTGCTGTTGCGTGCATTTCCAGCTCCTTTAATAACGAACGCTTTTATCTGCAGTAAGTCACTTGGTTTCTTACCTGAGAAACGAAGGAGAAATCAACTCTTTTTTCCAACTTGGAATAAGAACATTCCCGAGTTTTCTCTGTTGGAGAGGCGCCCCTGATTAGAAAAGCTATTTATGAAGACAAATGGTTTTATACTGGTAAGTCGAAGATCAAGTCTGGTAATTTTATTCCTTCTTTAAACAAAAAGCCAACTGTCCCTCAACTTTAAAACACAGCAAGAGTCAGAAGCTTGAACTCACCACAACCAGAGGTCACCATCTCCCTCTTTTCTAACACCAACTTTAGCATAAAAAAATTAAAAAATTTTAAAAATAAAAGCTCAAGACTACAGCCTGTCTGGCTTGCTGTTGCCTGCATTTCCAGCTCCTTTAATAACGAACGCTTTTATCTGCAGTAAGTCACTTGGTTTCTTACCTGAGAAACGAAGGAGAAATCAACTCTTTTTTCCAACTTGGAATAAGAACATTCCCGAGTTTTCTCTGTTGGAGAGGCGCCCCTGATTAGACGACACCTTGAAAACCTTTCCCAAGGCTTTCTCACGTCGTGTTCCTTATCATTTACACCTGGGGATGCTTAACCATGTGGTCGGGAACCTTTCTGTTTAATTTCATCTCCCGGCCCCAAGGCGCTTCTGCACCTGCCCGTGAATTGTTTCCCCAGGGGTGAAACTCCCCCAGCGAGGTCCCAGATGCAGCCACTGGCCCGCCAGCGCGAATTTTCCC